CACAGAGACCCACAGAGACCCACAGAGACCCACAGAGACCCACAGAGACCCACCACCCCCCCTTCTTCTTTTGGCCACAGGAACCCCCCTGGAGAACCAGCAGCTCCAGGAGGCAGCGAGAAGCACCCCAACCTCAAACCAAGGCAGCTCTCCGCCTTCCTACGAACCGCAGCCCAACAGCAGAGGATCTGAACTGGGCACAGCCGCGTTTGGGCGGCGCTCACCGCCTGGCCTGGGTGACTGAGTGCTTCCCAGCCCGCAGCCAAAGCTCTGCCCTGCCCTGCCCTCCTACCGCTTCCTGCTGGGCGACAGCTTCCTGCTCTCACACTTCTTCAGCTGCTGGTACATTTTGGCCGCTTTGTCGTAGAGCCGCTTCAGGTTCCCGGAGGCGCCTTCGAAGGACACTTCAGATTGAATGCTGGGATTGGGAAGCAGAAGGCATTGAGGGTCACTCTGCCACAAAACTGCTCACGTTTGCACAGCTAAACACAAAGACAGGCGTGCGGTGCTGCCATTGGGACGCGTCGGGGTCCTCAGGTCCTGCTGCCTCCCAGCCCCACTCCAGGCAGCACCACAGCTTCGCCTCCAGCTTTTAGACACCTTCCAGATTTGTGCCCCACAGCCTAAGAGACACTCACCAGCGTAAGTAGCAGTACGTGGCATCCACGTTGTAGTATTTGCTCCCAGCCAGCGTCCCCAGCTGATTGAAGGGCATGCCTGCCACAAAAGAGAGGGCAAAATTAACCGGAATCATTAACCAGAATCCTCCAGATCCCCCCCTCCACACAGGAGGGAAGCCGGCAGCATCAGCAATCCTCGAGCCCTAAAGCTGCAGAACAAAGGTCTGGACGGCTCGATCCTTTTCCCTGTGTTGTGTTTCACACCTTCCTGCCTAAGAAATCGGAACAAACAATTCCTCTTCCTCTTAATTCATAACGGCGCAGCCTCGGCTCCGTCGTGCTGCTTTTTCTTGGCACAGACATCATCTCATCAGCACCCAACAGCTCCATCTCAGCTCACTGTGCTGAACACTGGGCCGGGATCAGCCCGACCCAACCGCCAAGGCAGCGCAGAGAAAACGGCTTTGGGGAACCACATCCACCTTCGGATCATCCACAGGAGAAGGATTGGGAAGGGGCGGCAGGGTGGGGGGCACAACGAGGGAGGTGAATGCCATCAGTGCGACGTGGGAGGCAGAACGCGAGGACAACTCACCGATCTGCGGCGCGACAGACAGCGCCTGGTAGTAGAAGCGCTCGGCCAGCAGCTCCGTGTCCACACCTGCCAGCTCGTTCTGGTAGCGGGCTGCAAGCAGAGCACAGCTCAGAGCGGAGCACGGCGCCTTCCCTTCCCCTCCCCTCCTTTCCCTCCTGCTCTTCCCCTCCTTTCCCTTCTGCCCTTCGCCTCCATTCCCTGCCCTTCCCCTCCTTTCCTTCCCTTTCCTTCTCCTCCTTTCCCTTCCCTTCCCCTCCCCTCCTTTCCCTTCTGCCCTTCCCCTCCATTCCCTGCCCTTCCCCTCCTTTCCTTCCCTTTCCTTCCCCTCCTTCCCCTTCTTTTCCTTCCCCTCCCCTCCTTCCCCTTCTTTTCCTTCCCTTCCCCTCCTTGCCCCTCCTGCCCTTTCCCTCCTTTCCCTCCCTTCCCTTCCCCTCCTTTCCCTTCCCCTCCCCTCCTTTCCCTTCCCCTCCCCTCCTTTCCCTCCTGCCCTTCCCCTCCTTTCCCTTCTCTTCCCCTCCCCTCCTTTCCCTTCTCTTCCCCTCCCCTCCTTTCCCTTCTTTTCTCCTCCCCTCTTTTCCCTTTCCCTCCTTTCCCTCCCTTCCCTTCCCCTCCTTTCCCTTTCCTTCCCTGCCCTTCCCCTCCTTTCCCCTCTCTTCCTCTCCTTTCCCTCCTCTTCCTTTCCCCCCCCCTCCCGCCCTTCCAGAGAGGAGTGCAGTTTCCCTCCAGACTGACAGCAGCACAACACCCAGCAGCTTTACTCCGACCCTTGGTGCACAGACAGGATGGGAAACCGCTCTGCACCCTGCAGAGCCCCGCTGGCAGCAGCCACGAGCTGAGCACACTCCCCTCCCTCCAGCCGGTACATCGCCCTTCCCACCTCCCCTCAACATTGATTTGCAGCAGGTTCTCAGGCTGGTCCACACTCCATGGTGCCAAGCAGCTCCAGGAGCTTGGAGGCCCTGCACCATGACACGCTTCCAAGGCCTGATTGGTTTCTCTGACAGATATTTCCTTCCTGTCTCCGCACCCCAACACACTCACACACCTCGGAGGCGGTGGGACGGCAGCTGTGCCATCACAAGGGTGACACGCAGCCCCACACGAGGACGCAACCCACGGCTCTGTGGTGGCCCAATACAAAACATCTCTGCCTCTGCAGCCATCCTGCACCACACGCCATCCAAACAAACAGCACTGAAGGAAAGGAAAGGCTTGCGGTCCTCAGCACCCACGGTGCCACAGCTGCGTGCAGCGCAAACCCGGCACTTCTGCCATCTGCAGCTCAGCTGCCCCTTCTGTCACCAACAAACGCATCTGACAGAACCCCAGCAGCCGGGGGGAGCCCAGCACTGTGCCCACTCTTCCTGCACACCAGGGTTCCCTCACCAGACGATGCTCTCTTACCCAGATCCCCCAGGTAAACCAGGCATCGGTGGCACGCCATCTGCGCCCACTCCATCTCCTTCTCCGACGCAGACACGGGTTTCTTGCAGCCTACGAGTGGGAGAAACACGAAGTCACGCACAGCACTGGGGAAAAGGCAGCTGGAACGGCACACGAGGGGCCCACACTGCTGCCTGGGACACCCCATGCGTCACTGGCTGACCAAAGATCTCCTGAGACACCCAACGTGGCGCTGGGTGACCAAAGATCTGCTCAGATCGTGCTGCTGGCGGCTGCCTGCGTTGAGATGGGAGAACAACAGCCAGCTCCTGCCCAAAAGCAGACTAGCACAGCGCTGAGCACATGCTAATTGTGCCTGGAGAGAGGTTGACGACATCAGCGTGGCTAACGAGGAATTTGGAGGAGAGAATCTGGAGGAGAGCTGGCGTCCCCACCACCAACAGTGGGAGCAGATTTTATGTATTCAGGTTGGGATCGGGATTTGGGATTGGGAAAGAAGGAAGAAGAAAAACATAGAAGCCTTGATGGTACAGCGCTGCTGCAGCCACCTCCAGAGAAAGGAGAGCAGCCAGGTCGGCACCAAGGAGGCACTGAGGCTCAGCCCTGCTGCTGCCTGCTGCTCCAGCTCCTGGAGGACAGAAATCTCTCCCCAGGAACCCCAGAGGGAGGCATCCCAATCAGCACACAGCCAGAGCTCCTTCCTCTTGGCTTCGGTTGGAGGAGTGGGAGTGAAAGCCACCCATCTTGTCTGGATGCACGATGTCACACCTTATTGATCGCGTTACCTATTTGTCTTCTGTGCTGCACCAGGCGCAGAGTTGCAACCAGCCACCAAACATCCCCTGCTGAGACACAGCCTGCTCTCTTACAGGAGCTCCCTCACCTCCTCACATCCAAGACACAAAGGATGCCAGCAGCACGAGGAGCCCTGTTTGCCTGCAGAGCTGATCTTGAGCAGTGAGCAGCCACCCCCCAGCAGCACAGCCACCCGTCCTCATGAACTCCATGCAGCCACGAGCGCTCCTCCTGACCCCCAGCTACGGCTGCCACATCAAACCCTTCCCTCCGGACCTCCAGAGGTTCTCTCAGTCTGTTCTAAGAAATACAGAATGAAAAGGTCATCCTGTGGATGCTGCAGTGGACTGGCCAGCCCAGGGCAGGACCTGAGTGGGGCTGTGCACAGAGCTGCCATCGGTGTCACTGAATTCCTCTGCAGGTGACACGGAGGGGTCGGATGCACCCTCAGCAATCTGCAGTGACAGCAAGCAGAGCTGTGCAGCCACACGGCAGAGGAAGGGACGCCGTGCAGAGGTGGGCAGGCTGCAGAGCTGGGCACGTGCCAACCTCACGGAGCTCAGCAAGGCCAAGCGCAGCGCTTGGGTCAGGGCAGCGCCAGGCACAGAGAGCTGCCCTGAGAAGGGTTTGGGGGTGTTGGTGGATGGAAGACACAGAGTGAGCCAGCAGTGCGTGCTCCCAGCCCAGAAAGCTGGCTGGATCTCGGGCTGCATTGAAGGAAGCAGAGTGAGGGGAATCTGCCCCTCTGCTCTGCTCTGCTCTCCCAAGTCCCCGCAGGCAGCACTGCGCCCAGCTCTGAGCCCCAGCACCACGAGGACACCAAGCTGTCAGAGCGGGCCCAGAGGAGCCCCACGGAGGTGAGGATGGAGCATCACCCCCATGGGGACAGGCTGAGCTGCACAAGGGAAAGCTCTGCAGGGACCTTAGAGCCCTGCCAGGACCTGGAGGGGGCCGACAGGAAAGCTGGGGAGGGGACTTTTGATAGGGGCATGCAGCGACAGGATGGGGGAAATGGTTTTAAACTGGAAGAGGGTAGATTTAGAGTAGATATCAAGGACAAATGCTTTACTGCGAGAGCGGGGAGATCACGGGTCAGGTTGTCCCCCTCCTTGGAAGTGCTCAAGGTTGGCAGGATGGGGCTGTGAGCAGTCTGGTCCAGCTAGAGCTGGTCCTGCCAGCAGCAGAGGTCGGAACCGGACGGCTTTAAAGCCCCCATCCCACCCCATCCACCCCACCAAGCCGCTGCCCACGAGCACCCACCCATCAGCGGGTCCGTCACGTGCGTCCAGTCGATGCAGCACTGCAGCTCCAGCTGGTAGTGGGACTGGATGTAGAGCAGCAGGTGCTGGTAGAACCCGATGCCGGCCACCAGGTGAGTGCGGTAGGCGCACTCCAGGGCGCTGCGGCTGTGGATGTGCTGCGGGACAGAGAAGCCAGGAGGGGTCAGCGGGGGGAGGAATAATGCAGCTGGGAACCCGAGTTGTGCTGAGGAGGAGGTGAGACAGCAGGCAGCTCTGCTGCGACCCCTCAGCGCGCCTCCCCTGCTGGGCTGCGCTTTATCTGCTGCGTTTCTAAGAAGAGATGCCTGCAGTGACAAAGTAAGAAATGAACAGCAGAAGTGACTGGTTGGAGCCTGGAGACTGGTTGGACTTGGAGACTGGTTGGAATGGCGTCCCCACCATCAGATCGCTGCTGCCTCACACAACGGGGAGAGGGAGTTTTTCTGTGCCATCAGTGCCAGGGGAAAAAAGGAATCTGTGCTGGCAAAGCCATCTTGGCACTCGTTTTACATAGGAAACGTGCCTTGTGAATTTGGGAAGGCAGAAGGCGCGTCACGGCGGGATGCGCTCCGCAATGAAACCATCCCAGGGATTGTGAGGAGTTACTGCCCTCAGCTGAAGGAAACTGCAGCAAGGAACGGCTGGAGAGCCTGGCACAGAGCCCCAGAGATGGGGAAGGGAGCAGAGCAGCGCCGTGCTGAGGAGAGGCTGCAGGTGGAAGGGGGAACTCACGACCTATGAAGGCTGAGTGCCAGGAGGAGCCGGGCTCTCCTCAGTGACACCTGATGGCAGCACAGGGGCAGTGGGTGCCTGCTGGGAGGTCTGCATCAGCGTGAGAGAGAAGCCCTTCACAGCAAGGGGGACGGCACTGAGTTCCCAGAGGGGTGGCAGGGTCTCCTCTGGAGGTTCCCAACCACCTGGATGCGTTCTGGGTGCCCCGGTCCGGGTGCTGCTGCCACGTTGGGCCGGGTGAGCTTTCCACATCCCTCCCAATCCCTGACATCTGTGCTTCTGTGAGAACTCAGCTGTCAGCTCCGCTCGCACCCAGCAGCACTTGGTGCTCAGACGACACATCTCCAAGCAGAGGAACCTCTTGCTCAGCCTGACCCCACGGCCCGGCCGGCTGCCCACCCCACCCCGCGATACCTGCCTTCTTATTCGTCTTGATGAGTTGGATAACTTCATAGTAAACCTTTCTCCAGAGCAGCTCTTCCGCTTTTCTGCCATAATCCACGGGATGCAAGAACATCAGCTTCACACACAGCTCCCGCAGCCTGGCAGACAGCAGGGAACGGCGCCTTCAGCCACGGCAGCCCCACACAGCACCACCCCGAGCTCCCTGCCCAACCTACTTGTTCCTCAGGCTGATGTTCTCGGGCTTGAACACCTCCTGGTACGCTGCCTTGTTGCCGAGGATGAGATCCAGGCGATGCACGGCCTCCACCACCGCTCTGCAAAGCGACAGCACAGCGCATTTTGCTGCCATGATTCCCCAGGTGTGGATTCCACCCCCCCCCACTGCCGCCTCCCCACCGCCCTGCGCTCATCGCTTCGTGCCTTGAATGCCTCCATTCCAGCCTCCCCACTGAATGCCCTGGGCATCCACAGCCTCCTTGGGCTTCGTGCATTCGACTTCGAAAAGCTTCCGGGGGGAAGAACAGAGCACAGCTGCACCGAGGGAAGCTTCGTGCTTTGGGTCGGCTGCTTCGCCACGGCTGCGACATCGGCCTGTCTGCTCCTCCATCCCACCATCCCCAAAGGCCCCCGGGCTCACTAACGACTTCCAAGCTCAGCAATTAATTAACACGCTACACGTGTGCACGCTCAGTTGTGCTGGGAGGCTAAAGAAGGAATCGTTTCTAACAACCGTCATGACGGGGGAAGGCGCCTCCACCAATTCCTGCTCTCGATGGAGGACGGCAGCTCAGGCGCCACCCAACGCCTTCCATTCTGCAACTGCAGCTCCTGCAGACCTCGGGGTGACACCCAGCACAGAGGAACACGACAACAATCCAACACCAGATGTCCAACAAGCTCCTCACGCCAAGTGGGCAGCGCCCAGCCCATGCCTGAGGGCAGAAAGCCCACTCCTCACGCACCGTCCCCATCTGCCTCCTCCTTTAGGACACGCCGTGCGCAGCACGAGCCACTGAAGCCTGCAGAACCTTGGGGTGCTGGTGGGGGGGGGCAGGGGGCCAAGAGGCAGCAGCGTGCCCCCCCCACCCTGCAGTCCTAACCTGCTGGTGAGCCTCACCTGAGTGCAGGGAGGATTGTGGAGCAGCTCCTCATGGTTGCCACGTTGAGGCACACAGGAGATGAGAGACGTGCAGCGCTGAGGGGCAGACCTTGCCTGACCCACCTGGCAGCCTTCTGCGATGGACTGAGGGCATCAGATAGGTGGATGTCACCTACCTGGAGCTCTGCAAAGCCTCCACGTGGACCCTGACCACATCCTGCCCTCTGCATTGGGCACTGGGAGGATGGGCTGTTTGATGGATTGAGGTGGGCTGTGATCAGAGGGCTGCGATCAGCGCCTCTGGCACAAGAAGGACGCAGAAGCGTTGGGATGGGTTCCCAAAGGCGAGCAGCAGGCTGAGCACCTCTCCTGGGAAGGGAGGCTGAGGGAGATGGGCTCGTTCAGGTTGGAGAGGAGAAGGCTGTGGGGAGAAGGCACTGCGGCCATCCAGTCCTCAAAGGGAGTGTATAAACAGGAGGGGAAACGGCTGCTGACATGGGCTGACAGCGACAGGACGAGGGGGAATGGTGTCAAACTGAGACAGGGAGGTTTAGGCTGGATATTAGGAGGAAGTTCCTCGCACAGAGGGTGGTGATGCACTGGAACAGGCTGCCCAAGGAGGCTGTGGATGCCCAGGGCATTCAATGGGGAGGCTGGAATGGAGGCATTCAAGGCCAGGCTGGATGTGGCTCTGGGCAGCCCGGGCTGCTGGTTGGTGGCCCTGCACACAGCGGGGATGAAATGAGGTGATCCTGAGGGTCAGCTGAGGCCATTGTGTGAAAACCAAGCCAGCACAAAACATTGGAGACTCACAGAGGGAAAGCACAGCAGCTCATCCACAACTCAGGAAGCCCTTCAGCCAATCTGAAATCTCCCCTGTTGGCACAGAACTGAGCAGAAGAGGAGGAACTTGGGGAAGAAACCACCATGACTGAACGTCCCAGAGCTGCACCAACTTCTTGGGAAACAACGATGAAGAAAACCAGGAGCAGAGTTAAGTGCAGCACGCACAGCTCTGCTGCCACCTCGGCTGCCTGCTGCCCACCTGCAGCTCTCCTGGGATCCAAAGCTCCTTTGCAAACAGCCCAAATCTCTCAACAGCCAGCAGAGCTGCCCAGAGAGACGCCTTATTCCCCCTGCACCAGGCTACTGAAAGAACCGAGGGTGGAAACAGGCCGGTGCTCCTCAGCCATGCAGAAACTGATCTTGAGCGTCCCTCTGTGCTCCGACATCCTGGGATGGGGCCACATGGCCTCATTTC